TTTCTTGTCAGTTTCCTGGATTCAGTTGTGTGCTGCTGCTCTGAGCCAGAAGCAGCAGTGAAACTCACAAGACTGTCTCCATACTGTGAAACTAAGCCCCATCTTGGGTTCACAGCTCTAGCTGTTGGTCCATAGTGGGTGGGAGGTTCATCTGTGTGTTCCATGGAGCTATCAGCGTTCCAGAATGCCCCAGGTCGATTGGTGCAAGTGCTGCTGATGAGGGCATGCATTATTGGCAGAAGGAGGGCATGCCAACCACTGATTGAATTACTACAGTAGCTGTAGGCTGATCTACATTAAGTTGACCAAATTTTGTAGTACAGACAAACTTTTAAGTCACCAACAAACATGCTGTCCTCTTTTAAAACATCCTGTGTCCTCAGAGCCGGCCCAAGCTACGGGCTGACCGGGTTACCGCCCAGGGCGCCCCATTGTAGGGGGCTGCCGCGCATGCGCCGGGCACCCGGGGCTGGGGCCACACATGGGCCGAGGGGTCGGGGGTAGTGCCGCACTCCTGGGGCCCGGGGCACACAAATGGCTCAGGCCAGCCCTGTGTGTCCTCTATTCTGTCCATGGGATCTGTGGGGAGATTTACAGGCTTCAGCATACCTTTGACTTCTGGGTAGAGGTTTTTTCAAAGTCGATGGACTTCCTCATAGCATATCTATTATTCTCTTAGGTTAGAGCCATTCAGTATTGAGAGCCCTCAATTCCTCCATAGTAACTTTCCAGAAATAGCCCCTCCAGTGGATGGCTGTGTCTAGACTGGCAAGTTTTTCCGCAAAATCATCTGCTTTTGTGGAAAAACTTGCCAGCTGTCTACACTGGTCGCTTGAATTTCCGCAAAAGCACTGACGATTCATGTAAGATTGTCAGTGCTTTTGCGGAAATACTATGCTGCTCCCATTCGGGCAAAAGTCTTTTTCCGAAAAACTTTTGCGCAAAAGGGCCAGTGTAGACAGCAGAGATTTGTTTTCCGCAAAAAAGCCCAGATTGCGAAAATGGCGATCGGGGCTTTTTTGTGGAAAAGCGCATCTAGATTGGCCACGGACACTTTTCCGCAAAAAGCGCTTTTGTGGAAAAGTGTCCTGCCAATCTAGACACGTTTTTCCGAAAATGCTTTTAATGGAAAACTTTTCCATTAAAAGCATTTCCGGAAAATCATGCCAGTGTAGACGTAGCCGATATGTATATGGCACCTATACTACAGTGGCACAACTCAGCCCTGCAGTTACAGCGCTGTAGCATAGACACTTATTTATAGCATCTGAAGGGGTTTTTCCATCACTGTGGTAAACCCACCTCTTCGAGAGGTGGTCACCAAGTTGACAGAAGAATTCAGTTTCATTTACGGGGGCGAGGATAGGTCAATCTAACTACATTGCACATGCATTTTTCATAGCCCTGAATATTCTAGCTTGGTAGACCAGTAGGTATCAAGCCCTTGCTATAAAATAGGAGCTCTACAGCAATATTGAATGTTACATTCAAAATGGAGGTTGAAATACACCATGACATTCATAACATGGAATTCACAGTTTGACATGGACATATTCCTTCACCCACCCTCTGCCTGTCACACATCCTCATATGCCAAACAGTTTTTTGTGTGGGTGGATGAACCTTTTTTCTACTTTTCTCCCTCTCTCCAGGAGCCAACCATAGTTGTGGTCCTTGCACTCTGTTGTGTAAGGGCACAGCAGGGCATCTTCTAAGGGCTGTCACAACAGTTGTCTGAGACACCATGCCTCTAGGTGTGCTCCCAGTGATGGCATAACAGATAAGGTACTTGCAGAGGATTTGAGTGGAAAGGTTAACAAGTTG